ATGTGCGTTTGCCTAAGACAACTTTTCGAATTACTCTAGACTTAATTGACTCCATATTCCACTCTATGATTATTTTCTGAAGCTGCCTCTGTCAGCTGAAGCCAAAGAACAAGCTCAATAATATCCCTATTGCAAGACTATTTCCAAATTTGTAAATCCACATGTCGAAAATCGCTATCAGTGCTAAGGTCCTACGTTTTGTTGTCAAAACGTGTTTTTGCTTAGTGATCTCACCCATCGATTCGCGGCTTTTTGCCGTCGTGCTTTGGAGCGTACGCTGAGGAACGGAAACCGTACAGAGCCACCGTCCAGGCTTGAAGTATTGGCTTTCCTCATGCGTGATCCCTGTGAACACAGTATGCCCCACAGTATCCCGGTGAATTTGCCGGATACTTCCTATCAGGTACTGACTGTTGAACACTATTGGCAATCGCGTCTCCATTAATTGCTTCCTCTTCTATTCTAGGTGATTGGGTTTGATGGCTCGAGCACCGTCGAAGAGTGTATGCTGAACTTATGCCAGATAACGTCTCTCAGACACCCAAAGTTGTCCGGCTACTGCCTCTTTGCCGATGATCCCGGCCTCCCAAATGCATTGCAACCGCTGGATCAACGACAAAAGGTACTTTGGACACACCTATGAGGAATGAACTTGATTTTCTGGTAACAGTCATATAGTGCTGTGTTATTTCAGCTCTGCGACGTGCTTTCTCGGTGGGAGAGATCGCTAAAAGAGTACACTTCCGGTAAAGTGCCAACAAGAACAGCAGTACGACTTTATTTTCGACTTCGGTACGTGACAGGTGTCTGGGTTCTAATTTTATGACAACAGCAAATATAGTCATTCATCGAGAGATGACAACAGGAATGTGAAAGCTGGAGATCCTTTGTAGTTTAGATTTGTTAGATCTTGGTCATTTAAGTTGCGAAAGAATGTTTTTTCTTTCCATTCCGTGATATAATCCGGATTCTAACCTTCCATCGATATGGCTCATTAGTCACTGTACATCTACTGTTCTGAGGGTAGACTACATATCGAAATGGTATTAGTGTGTTTTTATTTTCAATACTGATGACCGCCTTCAATCCATCAATTTTGTAGCCAATATTTCCTTCCAGTAGGTAGAACTACTTTAAAATGCAGCTCCCTGTACTTTGTCTGCGGCGCATTTCCGAGCTCATGATGGGCCATCATTGTCAGTGGTAGATTAATGCACAGAAACTTGATTTAGTTCGCTTAATTATGAAATTCATGATTTAGTTTTGGTCTATTTTTTGCAAT